CAGCAGCACCATCAGCACCCGCAGCACGACCACCACCAGGACTGACAGTAGTAGTCTCGGAACCAACACCCTCAGCAGCTCTAGCTCCAGGCGGACCCGCAGGCCCAGCAGCTCCGGGACCGACGGCACCAGCACCCTCAGCGGTCGAAGAAGCGCCAGCTCCAGCAGTACGCCTCCAGCGGCGAGCAAACCACTCACGCAGCTCCTGTGGAGAGAGTGGCTCCCGCCGAGACGAAACACCCGGAGAACCTCCAGGCCCAGCACCGCCAGACGCCACAAGGGGAGGTCCAGTGGCCGCAGGCTCCACACCTCCAGGCTCAGCAGCTCCAGACGCAGCACCCCCAGGCTCAGCACCCCCGCGCGCAGCACCCGCAGAGGCAGCACCTCCAGGCTCAGCACCCCCAGGCTCAGAACCCCCAGAGGCAGCACCCTCAGGCTCAGCACCCCCAGGCTCAGCACCCCCAGACTCATCACCCCCAGAGTCAGCACCCCCAGGCTCAGCACCCCCAGGCTCAGCACCCCCAGCAGTACCTGAGTCAACAGCAACCTCGACCGGCTCGACTACATCGACCTGGGACACACCTGAAGGGGCAGGACCCTGAGGGGGAAGGGGGTCTACCGGGGGGGGACCTGGCACAAGGAAGTGCGGTGGCGGGGGGAGGGAAGGAGTGCGGTAGGGGAAGAGGTGGTAGAAGGGGACGGACTCGTCGAACGTGACGTCCTGGGAGGACAGAACACGACGAGAGGAGGGGTGGTAGAACTGCCACCCTGGGGCGTCAGGGGGGAAGCCCAAGAAGACACAGGGAGCAGCACGAGGGGACAGCTTGTCCGCATACAAGTCGCGGACAAACGCCCGAGATCCCCAGACACGGAACGCAGACGCATCGCCGACCTTCCCCGTCCACAGCAGAGCTGGGGAGGTCTCCGGTCGGGAGACCCTGGGGTGAAGGTTGAGCTGATGCGCCGCGTACTGAACCGCAAACGGCCACAGAAAATGGGGGGCAGCCGCATGCATCATGGACGTATGAGCGACGTCCATGACCATGCCAATGCGGCGCTCAGCAATCCCATTTTGTTGTGGAGAGTCCGGAAGCGTGAAGGTCTGGCGGATCCCCCGTGCACGACAGTAGGCTCGCAGAAGGCCAGAGGAGAACTCCCCACCTCGGTCAGAGTGCAGACGCAGAACAGGAAAATCCGAGCCGAAGCTCCTCTTGAGCTGGAGACGATCTGCGCGGATCCAGTCGATCAACACCTCAGTGACATCACCCTTGCTGCGCAAGGGGAAGACCGTGGTGTAACGCGAGTAGTCGTCAACCACCAGCAGGAAGTAGCGCTCGTGACCCTGTCCACGGACGCGGGCCGGGCCCCACACGTCCATGTGAAGCGTCTGCAGAGGAGCCTCTGTCGGGGGAAACTGGGAGGAGTGAGGGGCAGCCCGGAGCCGCCCCTCGACACAGGGGACATAGGAAGGTCCTGGCCCCGAAGGAAGGGGAGGGAGAGACCGGGGGAGCCCAGAGACAAGGACACGGGAAGCCATGCCCCGAAGACGAGGCAAGGAGGGGTGGCCAAGACGGTGGTGCCACAAGAGAGTCTCGTGAGACAGGAGGCGACACGAGCAGGGGGCAGACTCAAGACCAGACCGGGACGCACCAGCAAACACCTGACCTGACGCAGCTACCTGGCCAGACGCAGGGACTGGAGGAGACTCAATGGTCAGGGTGTAGAGACTCGACCCGGGCCGACGCGAAAACGTGGCTAGGTGTCGGCCTGTGCGGGCGTCCGAGCAGTGGGTCCCCCGCTGACTCGCAGGAGTAAACTGGTGAACCCCCGCATCCTGCAGGTCAGCACCACTCACCAAGTTCGTCGACAACGAGGGGAGGTACAGACCCGACAGGGTGCCCGAGGGGGCAGCCGGACACGGGAGGACAGTGGAGAAGTGAGCGAGGACAGGACCCCCAGAGGGGTCAGCCAGGGAGACTGCAACCGGCCGACCAAGCGGCGTGAGTGTGGTGCGGTCTCCAAAGAAGGAGCGAGAAGCCCCTGAGTCAAGTGTGAAGGTGAGGGAGGCCGAAGCCGATGCAGTACCTGAGAGCGCAGCCTCACCAGTACCTGAGAGTGCAGACGCACTGGCACCTAGAGCAGTAGCCTCACCAGCACCTAGCGCAGCAGTACCAATGCCCGGGTCGGGCGGGAAACACCGGTAACAGTCACCCTCATCACTAATACTCACAGCATACATGGCAGTGAGGATAGCATCAAAGTCAAGATCAAAGATCGCTACGCCAGCCCTAGACAGCTCTCCCCAGCGGGGAATCTCACTAGCCTCGGGGAACTGCTGACGCCAAGCGTCCGTCAGGCGGCCAAAGCAGCGCTGGGTGGAGTGGGCACCCCCACACTACTCACCCGCGCGGTCGCCGGAACGAAGAACGTAGGTGCACGGGCCAAGACCCCCACCACGCTGACGCTGCGTGTACCACTCACGGAGCTGCTGAGGCGGGGGGATGTCCCGAGAACGCTGCTGCTGCTGCTGCTGCTGCTGGCGCGGACCACCACCAGAGCCGCTCCGCTGCGGGGCACTACCCCGACCGGCTCCACCTCCTCCGCCAGCGCCGCCTCCACCTCCGCCACCACCGCCGCCTCCGCTCCCACCGCCGCCGCCGCCACCGCCGCCGCCTCCGCTGCCGCCACCACCACCACCACCCCCACCACCACTCCCACCGCCACCCCCACTCCCTCCGCCACCGCCACTGCCACCTCCACCGCCCCCGCCAGCTCCACCCGCGCCCTTGCCACCCTTGCCTTTGCCAGGGCGGCGTCTCCCGCTAGGGGCAGACGCCGCGCCGACCGACTCAAGACCAAGCAGGTCGGCAGCAGCAGCAGAGGCAACAGAGGGCAGCAGGGGGGAAGGAGAACACCCCTCAAAGATGGGGGTGCGCGGGTCACCACGAGAGGCTCCTACAGCGACTATGCTCTTCTCCGCCGCTAGGAGGGCCTTCTCGAGGAGGTCGACAGTGAGGGTGGTGGGACAGACTGAGAGGAAGTGGTCCCTGACTACGCGAAGGGAGTCAGGGAGGCGAGTGAGTATGTAATAGAGAGCGATGTACATGGGGGGGGGGGTTCTTGGCGCAGAACTCAGCAGGAAGTGCGGCGCGGTAGCGAGTGTCAGCGAGGTCAGCGACTGTAGGAAAGGCAGTGAGGTCAGGAAAGAGGTACGGTAGCATCAGGCGGCTCAGTGCAGCAGTGGCAGGGGAAGAGTAGCGCGCAACTACAGCGTCGTACAAGGTCTGAGCACTCTTGTACTGACTAAAGTGCGCGCGCTCAGTGGTAGGCAGGTGGCGACGCACAGCAAGACGTGCAGCAGCATCGCGGGTGGCCCACTGAGAGCGAACAGTGGGGTCAGCATCAGCAGCAAGAGCAGGGGAGGCGCCAGAGGTGAGGTCAAAGAGAGAAAGACCGTCCGCCCTATCGCACTGTAAAAACAGCTGCAGGTAGTCGACCCAGACCTCAAAGTCAATGGCTCGACCCTCAGCATCAAAAGCGAGGACACTAGGGGTAGCCATGACGACAGACTAGCAGTGCAAGCAGTGGGGGAAGGGCACGCAGTAGCAGTGGAGCTGTGCTCACCAGACAGGGCAGGTCGGGCGGCTCGGCAGTAGTGCGGCTCGGCTGCGGGGCGGCTCGGCAGCTCGGCGGCTCGGCGGCGACTGCTGGGCGGCTCGGCTGTACTGCGGCTCGGCGGCCCGGCGGCTCGGCGGCTGCTGCTGGGCGGCTCGGCTGAACTGCGGCTCGGCGGCCAGGCGGCCAAGCGGCTGCTGCTGGGCGGCTCGGCTGCTCTGGTACCGGGCGGCGTGGCGGGCGGCTGCTCGGGCGGCACGGCAGGAGGGGAGCCGCGAAGGTGTGGGCGGCGGGGCCGTGACGTGAGGGCGGCGGGGCCGCGTAGGAGAAGGCGGCGGGGCCGCGTAGGCACGGGCGGCGAGGCCGCGAAGGTGAGGGCGGCGAGGCCGCGTAGGTGAGGCGGCGGGGCCGCTACGTGAGGGCGGTGGGGCCGCGAAGGTGAGACGGCGGGGCCGCTACGTGAGGGCGGCGGGGCCGCGACGTAAGGGCGGCGGGGCCGCGTAGGTAAGGGCGGCGGGGCCGCGTAGGTAAGGGCGGCGGGGCCGCGTAGGTAAGGGCGGCGGGGCCGCGAAGGTGAGGGCGGCGGGGCCGCGAAGGTGAGGGCGGCGAGGCCGCGAAGGTGAGGCGGCGGGGCCGCGACGTGAGGACGGCGGGGCCGCGACGTAAGGGCGGCGGGGCCGCAACGTGAGGGCGGCGGGGCCGCGACGTGAGGGCGGCGGGGCCGCGACGTGAGGGCGGCGGGGCCGCGACGTGAGGGCGGCGGGGCCGCGACGTGAGGGCGGCGGGGCCGCGACGTGAGGGCGGCGGGGCCGCGACGTGAGGGCGGCGGGGCCGCGACGTGAGGGCGGCGGGGCCGCGACGTGAGGGCGGCGGGGCCGCGACGTAAGGGCGGCGGGGCCGCGTAGGTAAGGGCGGCGGGGCCGCGTAGGTAAGAGCGGCGGGGCCGCGTAGGTAAGGGCGGCGGGGCCGCGTAGGTAAGGGCGGCGTAACGGGCCGCTAGGGGCGACACGGAGGGTCGCTAAAAAAAAAGGAACGCGCGCCTCGGGGCGCGCTTCGGTGGGCCCTGGGAACAGTCCCTAGGAGGGGACCTGCTCTGATTCCATGTGAAAGAGTGAACGCGAAATTGAATGAACTATGAATGAAGTGGGTACAAGTACTAACCCTAATTGGGTTGTACCCCCTATGGGATACCCCACTATAGCCTACACAAAAGCATAAGCTATAATGTTCTGACAATACTCGCAGCAATCGGGTGGAAGGGTGAGGATTAAAAAAAACAATCCATGAGATACACAAGCGATCAGACGAGTAGTTATGAGAGTGTGCCGATCGCTACGACTGAATAAAGTAGAAGCAGATGGGAAAACAACGCTGAAGGGAATGGGTCAAAACAGACAGGTACACACCATGAGGTCTACGAGCATACCTGGAAGCTTCTTCCTGTAGAGCTTGTGCAGTTGAGCCAGCCATTTTTTGAAGTTTTCCACACGTTTGGCGTCGTCAGGTACGTATGAGGCTGATCGAAATAGCTTACACCCCTCCAGCTCCTCCAGGTCTTTCATCCGCCACTCCAGCTCCTTGTCGACAGCACGCACAAACTTCAGCGACAGCTCGAAACAAGCCGTTACATCTCCATCCGTCTCCTGCCCTTCGATGGGATTCTCGTGCAGTTTATAGCTGAATTCCACAGGGTTGCCGTCACTGTCCACGCCCTCTGCCTTCACCTCCCGCTTGTCCATCTTCTGATGACGCTGAATGAAGTCGCTCAGTGTCATCTTCTCTCCACTCCCGAAGTGATGATCCGGCTCAAAGTTTAAGTACCGGTTCTTGATGCGCATCCGTGTCTGGTCCACGAGATGAGACACGAGCGTGACGTCGATCTGTTCAGACAGTACAGACGACAGGGTTAGCGACACACCTTTCTGGGCGTAAGCAGTCTATATACTTAAGATTCGTTTACCTGCCGTTGCTTGAATCGTTGGTTCAGATGGTTCAGCTCCCACAACACGTCAGCAAGCAGCCGGAGCAACCACTGAAACTTGAACGACGTGGCGATCTCGTACAGGTCGTTGTTGTACTCTTTGAGCACCACGATGGCTGCAGGCAGGATCTCGAGGAAGCGTCGGACGGCCTCACCACGTGACAGCCAGCGAACGGTGTGTATACCTTGTGCCTCCAGGTTCGTGTTGCAGAAAACATGCTGAATGTTATGAAACTTCTCGTACTTGACGTTGGATCGCGAGATGAGATCTGCAAAGCGACGGATGACGTCGTCAACCATGTAAAGTTCAGGCACAGCATCCGCGGCATCGCTTGCGGCTAGAGCCTCCCTGCCAAGTAATCAAAGTACGAGTTGTGAGTAATGAAGTTAAGAATGGTGCATCGCTTTCCCACCGAGTGCATGGAGAGACACTCACCGATGAGCGACACAGTGCGTGGAGGCGAGGTGCGGGATCCTCATGCACAGACGGGCAACAACCCCGCTGTTCTTGCCTGTCATGACACTAGCGCCGTCCGTTGAAATGGCAGAGATCTTCTGTAGATCCAAACCAATCCCTGTCAGGTACTGCACCACAGCAGAGGTCAGAGAGGCTGCATCAGCACGGTCAACAGTGATGAGAGTTATGAACTCGTTGACCACACCCGTGCCATGGAAAAAAGTAGCGTAAACGATTAGATGTTTGCCGTGGATTCGGTCTGTGCTCTCGTCCAGTGACAAGCCAATCCAAGGCGACTCCAGCAAGTGCGATCGTTGCAGTTTTTGTAGGTACGTTGAGATGGCCCGGAGATTCTCTCTGAAGCCATATCTGCACATAACAACAGATAACAACATCAGTATATGTGAATATCACGCGTGGCTACCGTTTAAAAAACAAGCGCTTACTCAGTGTAGTAGGCGCCATATCCGCCACCGTTCGGAAGGTCTGGAAGGCCTTCCTTTGCCAAGAACCAGCAGAGCGGGATGAACATCGAGATCGGTGCATCCGCCCTGCAGATAAAAAGCGCAATATGAAGCACGCGAATGATGTGACGCGTAGACGCGTCAGTTGACTGCCACCGTGTTAGTTTTGCCTGTTTCTCCTTCTCAGCTGCAGCTTCTTCTTGGATCTTGACCGCGCTCTTGTGGGCTCGTGTTCAGGAATGGGCCCGGACGCTTCCTATCTGCAGGTCGCGGCCACCTTCACCTCTCACACCGTAGCTAGTGTGAGCTGCGGGGTCGCCATGCTGCACACAAATGTCACACTTGAGTTTTGCTTCTCCGTTAGGCATCCGAATAAGACGCAACCACTTGAATTTACCCTGCCACTCCGTCTCAAACCGATGCTTTATGGTCTCGTAGACAACGTCACCGGTAGTTTTAGCGGGCGCCTCGTCTTGGGTCGCTACTGGACGTTGCGGTGAAGCTTCTTTGCGGGGTGGCGGGGCTCCCCATAGCCGCTGCTGCGTGTACTTCGTTCCCACACGCGGGCGTTTCCCCGGGGTGCTGCTCACAGTGGACGGTGAAGCTGCGGAGGGTCTAGACGACCCTTCACCACCGCCTGGCACGAGAACAATTGACGGGTGCGGCTCCCAGTCAGCAGGAGTCGACGGCGGCTCGAACGGGTATACAATACCCACACTACGCACGGGAGAAGCGGGTGGTGGCAACGGCGAGATGGGCACGCTGTATGTCTTAGAAGGGGGAGGAATAACTCCCAGCACAGAAAGGCCATTACGCACTACCGCAGGAGATTGAGGAGTTTGCTCGGCAGGCATGACTACCACATATGAGAGACCTCCCAGTGGGTGGTTCTCACACTGAGGGTATGAGAAGGATGAGAAAGATGGGGTGTTCTTGGGATAACGACCCCCTCCTCCAACACCCATGATGACCCCGGAGCGCGTAATTGCATGGCTCACGGTGGTCACTTGTGGCTGCCAGGGTGTGTTCTGTTCAGCACGAAAGGAGGATGGCAGCCCCGCTGTCCTGTCGGCGCGCTACTAGACAAGTCTGGCAGTTGTCAAATGCTGCTCTGGCCTTGATTCTGTGTTGCGCTGGCATGGTGGCTGCCTGTTCCACCAATGTTGTACTTTCATGGCAGGACGCGTGGAAACTCCGCGTGACTCCACCTGGGGGTGATATTGTTTTTTTGTGACTGGTGGTCTTGTTGTCCGTTTCGCATTCTGTTAAGTTTTGAAATCCTCGCTTGCAAGAAATCCGTATCAGTGTAACTGAAAAAGTACCCTGTACAGTCAGGGAAAAATTTGTGGCACGCTGTATTTCAAAGGGAAAAAAAAAAATTCACTTAATGGCCTAGGGTAAAAATCCCAGTACCCTGCCTGGGAAAGGGTAACTGAAAAAAAGCGGCCGCCAGTCAGTGCAAAAAGGGTATTTTACACTGATAACGAGAGGCCTGAGCGCGACGGAGAGAGGATGGGCGACGGAAGAGGGGAAGGGCGACGGTGATAGCAAGCGCGACAGAGCTAGCGCAACATCAAGCGCGAGCGCGCACTAACAGCTCCACAAAACCGATTCTGTGAAGCACGTGGTTCGCGCAACGGGCACCATCTCCGCCCGCTGGTCGCAGAGCATCACCGCCGCCTCCCATCCGCCGAGCTCCCCGACATGATGATGAGCCCGGGCGACGGGAGGTTGAGGTGACGGGCAGCGAAAGGAGATAGCGAGGATGCGGCCAGTGAGGGGAGATAGAGATGTGACGAGCAGTGATGGGAGAGAGCGAGAGAAGGGAAGGGAGAGAGGAATGTGCGGGAGATTTGGCACGAGCGTGATAGCAACGAGTTGAGTAATGGGAAGGGAGAGAAGAGGGGCGATGAGAGGCAGAGGAAGGGCGAGCGCGATTGCGATGATTGGGCGATGGCAGGGGAGGCACGTTGGGTGACGGTGACGCCATGGATGGCGACTCGCAAACTATGAGCCATGCTTGAGAGATGCAGGCAAACTATGAGCCATGCTTTGTATGATATGGTATGGATACTGTTGTAAAACCACACCACGGGTAGATTTCCTTTTGGGCAGAATGCTGCCTGGAGAAGGGATTCAGGTGGTACGCAATTCACTTGTTATTTGGCCGCGCTGCAACAGAGATTCATTTTATCCCTTTGCATCACTGCACAACGCAAGAGTCAAGCAAGTCAAACAAGTCAACTCATACAAGTCTGGCACAAGTGCAGCCACCTAGTGTGTGCACCACCCACACAGGAACATGCAGGGTAGCATTGGAAGGAGGCACCATTACAGGTGCCTCCAACATGTGAGGTGAAGTGCCTCCAAGAGATGTTGCTTCCTGACTGCCTTGTCACTTCAGCTTCTTCCCCTCCTTTTCTTTAACCGCCCTGCTTCTCCTAGTAGTATAAGACTTGCGTGTGAAGAGAGAATGCCACGCAATGTGCAGCTCGCACGGGCGCATGCAGCAAACCAGTCGCCTTTCTAAGCATGCAAAAGCAAAAGCCACACCATCGCGAACAGAAATGTTGTCAAATGTGGCCGCATGCACGAGCGCATGCACGGGCAGGCAGGATGAGGGGCCTCTCCTCTCCTCTCCTCTCCTCTCCTCTCCCAAATGAGTCCATTCAACGTTACCATGAGGCCAGAGCCTTGCACAGCTTATGTGCACAGCTCATGTGCACGTGTCCTTGGGCACCACATGCATTGGCTTGTTGCGTGAAATCCCTCGCATCGCATCGCATTGCTTCAGATTTTGCACCCCGACTGATGGGAGGCGAGGGTAGGAGGGAATAGAGGGAGGGAGGAGACGAACGAGGTGAGCGAGGTGCTTTTGGGAGGGCTAGCAGGGACCTGCTGTGGTCATGTAACTGCTTCAGCACCTATTTCCATTTATATACAGAAGCAACTGGTTGCATTTCCTCGATGCACTTACCACACCTCGTTGCATCTACAGTACCTCGTTGCATCTACAGTACCTCGTTGCAATTGACAATGCCGAACTCGAGCCCGTCTATGAGCGCGCGGAAACTGGCCTCCACAATGGACGAGTGCGCTCCCACCTGAGAGGAGGGAGAGCAGGGGAAGAGAGGAGAAGGGGGGAGACGAGGAGGGGGGGGGAAGGAAGAGGGAAGGAAGGGAGGAGGGGAGGAGGGATATGCAAAACAGGTAACACCAAGTGTTTAAAACAGTCAGCAACTCCCACAAGTGCAACAATGCATCCCAGTGCTGCAGCGTTACCCCAAACGCTGAGCCTCAACACACCACACCACACAGCACCACACTAAGAACTGACCATGGACCACGTCACTCCAGAGCTCCAATCACAGATGCCGATGGTAACCACGTGGTGGACATGGTGCCACTGCGCCTCTCACCCTCGTACCAACCCGTGCGACACCTCACCGCACCACACCGGACCACGCTGCACTGCACACATACCGTGGTCCACGTGGCCTCGGAGCTCTTATCACAGAAGTCGATGGTGACACGAGTGGTGGACATGGTGCCGCTGCGCCTCTCAGTGGGCTCCAGCAGGCGAACACGATAATCCACCAGCTCCACCTGCGCCAGCTGCGGGAAGTGGGGATCCAGTGAGGCCCTGCGCGGTTCAGAGCGGTTCAAGGGAGTGGGGTGGGGAATGAGGGCAGGGAACGGGTGAGTGGGCCCCAGCAGTCAGCCGCACAAAGCGAGGGAATGAGACAGTCCTTATCACAGCATCACATGCGCATCATACTGAATTGCACCCACCACAGAACTCCTCACAGTGACTCAGACTCACCGCAGGGCATGGTTGAGGGCGTCTACAGGCCCGTTGCCCTCCGCAGCACTCATCTGATGGTGGAAGCATTCAGGGAGAGAGGGGGTGGTGGGAGCAGAGGTACGCAAGCACAGGACAACAGCAATCAGACAGAGGAAGAAGATGGAGAAAGGAGAGGAGAGAGAGGACATTATAGGCATTACAGGGTATGGCTGAGGGAAGGATTGGGATGTCTGAGAGTTTCTTATTCCGGAACAGGAGAACAGGGAACAGTTGACTGCATTGATTGGCCTTGACTTGGTTTGACTTGACTGGCCTGGGCAGGACCCGTACCTGGCTGATGCCGCCCACTTGGACCTTGACGATGGCCTGGCTGTTACAGCTGGCGCCCTCCATCCACTCACTCTCCGCCACCAACGCCGCCTCCTCCCTCTCACTCGCCCTCTCCCTCCTCCTCCTCTCCCTCCTCTCCCCCTGCACCCCCTCCACCCCTCCCTCCTCGTCACTGGAATCACTGCTCTCCCCACTGCTGCTGCTGCTGCTACTGCCTTTGACGGGCTGTGGCACGCCCAGATGGTTGGTGGAGATGACTGAGAACTCCAACACGTGGAAGCTGGTGATTGGTGGGTGGGTGGATGGGAGGGATGGGAAAGGGAATGGAAGGGAAGGGAAGCAAAGGCGGTGGGCAGAGAGGTGAGGGGCATGTGTGGAGCAGGCGAAGCAACTCACGGAATCTGGTAGCGTGCCCCTCGTCGCACGATGAGCATGTGCACAGACGCAGCGGCAATCTCAAAGGCCAATCTGCTTGATGCACGCCAACACCGCAAAAGTACCCCCCAAAGGCACCACCACCCCGCTATTACAACTCACGGGATCTGGTAGCGTGCCCCTCGCCGCACAATCAGCATGTCCACGGAAGCAGCGGCGTTCTCAAAGGCGAACCCGCGCGCCTCCATCTGCTTGATGCGCGCCAACACCCGCCCCGCCTCCTCCCTGCCCAGGTCCAGCCCTGCCCGCTCCGCCTTGTCGAGAATGTTGCCGCGGCCAGATAAGTCGGAGACCACTGACCGCATGGCGTTGCCCACTACGGATGGGTCGCAGTGGTTGTAGCTCTCAGGCATCTGGTGGATGAAAGGGACGAGGGGCAGAAGGAATGCAGAGGAGTGCAGTGCGGTGCAGTGGGTCAGAGGGTGCAGCGCTCCGCGTTCTCCAGAATGTTCCCCCAGCCAGACAGGTGTGAGACGGCTGAGCACATGCCATTGCCCACGAGGGAGGGGTTGGAGTGGCTGTAGCCCTCAGGCATCTGGTGCGAGGGGGAATTGGGGGTTGGGTGGGGGTGGGATTGAAGAGGAGGGTGTGTTGTGAGTTGATTCGGAAGTAGCTTGAAAGGGGTCTTGTGGGATTGACTCGGAGTTGCAGATCACCTCTTTACAGCTCACCTTTTTACAAGACAAGGAAGCGCACCTTTCTCAGCGCAAGCCGCATGGATTCCTTTCTTGTGGGAGAACGTGTTGACTTGCACAAGCTGAGCTGGCAGCACTGAACTGAACACAACGCACAGCGCACCTTCCTGAGAGCAGCTACATGGATGCCCCCCTTGTGCGCAAACGCATTGGCTCCCACAAAGAGCTTGCAGCACTGAACACCCACCTGCTGGTCCCCCATGCAACAACCTCAGCGTTGCCACCCACACAACCCACCTTCCTGAGAGCAGCCACGTGAATGCCCCCCTTGTGCGCAAACGCGTTGGCTCCCACAAATGGCTGCGCGGGGTTGGGCGGCTGGCCTGCCACCCGCGCAATCTCCCCGGAGATCTCCGCCAGCCTGGCGAGCGAATCCCGAGGCAGGCAGTCGCAGCCCAGCTTCACCTGGAGAATCCCGATGGCTGTGACCTGGCAATGACGTGGCATGGGTGAGGGGTTGGAGCGTTGGGGGTGGGTATGAGGGTGAGAGTGGGAAGGAACGGAGGAACGGAAGAGGGAGGGAGGGAGAGAGGGAGGGAGAGAGGGAGAGAGGGAGGGAGGGAGGGAGGGAGGGAGGGAGGGAGGGAGGGAGGGAGGGCAGGAGGGAGAGAAAAAAAAAATGCAATGAAGGCATGAAACACATACCTCTAAACCACAAGTACCCAGAGAAATTGCATCCAGCCTTCACATCAACCCCGACCCACCTCCTAGAACTTACAATGACAGAGTTGCCGGTGCGCTCCCCGTACCCATTTACACACCCCTGCACCGCTCTCGCCCCAACCCACCCACGTTTGAACCCAGCTCTTAGAATTTACAAGTTTGAGGTGCCGGTTTGAGGTGCAGGTTTGACGTGCAGGTTTGTTTGATGTGCAGGTTTGATGTGCAGGTTTGAGGTGCAGGTTTGACGTGCAGGTTTGACGTGCAGGTTTGAGGCGCAGGTTTGACGTGCAGGTTTGACGTGCAGGTTTGACGTGCAGGTTTGACATGCAGGTTTGACGTGCAGGTTTGAGGTGCAGGTTTGAGGTGCAGGTTTGAGGTGCAGGTTTGAGGTGCAGGTTTGAGGTGCAGGTTTGAGGTGCAGGTTTGACGTGCAGGTTTGACGTGCAGGTTTGACGTGCAGGTTTGACGTGCAGGTTTGACGTGCAGGTTTGAGGTGCAGGTTTGAGGTGCAGGTTTGAGGTGCAGGTTTGAGGTGCAGGTTTGACGTGCAGGTTTGACGTGCAGGTTTGACGTGCAGGTTTGACGTGCAGGTTTGAGGTGCAGGTTTGAGGTGCAGGTTTGAGGTGCAGGTTTGACGTGCAGGTTTGAGGTGCAGGTTTGACGTGCAGGTTTGACGTGCAGGTTTGAGGTGCAGGTTTGACGTGCAGGTTTGACGTGCAGGTTTGAGGTGCAGGTGTGAGGCGCCCCCACTCAGCGCCCCAACTAAGCGCCCCCACTTAGCGCCCCCACGTAGCATCCCCACTTAGCGCCACGTGCATGCTCACTCACCCCTGCAGTAGGTTCCCACACCCCTAGAACTTACAATGTCAGCGTTGCCAGTGCGCTCCCCGTACCCATTGATACACCCCTGCACCACTCTCGCTCCCGCCCGCACGGCCTCAACACTGTTGGCCACGGCCATGCCACAGTCGTTGTGGCAGTGCACTCCCACTCCCACATCCCTCCCCCACACGCCCTCCGCTGCGCCTCTTGCTAGCTCCTCCACCACTAAACGGGTGACCTCCTGAAGAGGTGGGGGGAGACGGGAGTGAGGTGCAGAAAATTGGTGGGAATGTGGTTCTGGAAGTTTGAAACGGGGTCATAGGAGGGATATATGACATGGTCATAGGAGGGATACATGACATGGTCATAGGAGGGATACATGACATGGTCATAGGAGGGATACATGACAGGGTCATAGGAGGGATACATGACATGGTCATAGGAGGGATACATGACATGGTCATAGGAGGGATACATGACATGGTCATAGGAGGGATAGATGACAGGGTCATAGGAGGGATACATGACAGGGTCATAGGAGGGATACATGACAGGGTCATAGGAGGGATACATGACAGGGTCATAGGAGGGATACATGACATGGTCATAGGAGGGATACATGACATGGTCATAGGAAAGATACATGACATGGTCATAGGAGGGATACATGACATGGTCATAGGAGGGATACATGACAGGGTCATAGGAGGGATACATGACATGGTCATAGGAGGGATACATCACATGCTATGTGACACGCGCCATAGCATGAAATGGCGTGGCATGGCATGGCATGTGGCATGGCAAGTGGCATTGCATGGCATGTGGCATGGCATGTGGCATTGCATGGCATGCTATGAGGCAAGACTCACATGCACGCGCCGTGGCACTCCCCCCAACTCACATGCACGCGCCATGGCACTCCCCCCAACTCACATGCACGCGCCATGGCACTCCCCCAAACTCACATGCACGCGCCATGGCACTCCCCCCAACTCACATGCACGCGCCATGGCATGGAGCCCCCATTAGTGTCACACAGCACTATCTCCTTGGCGCCCGCCCTGGCTGCCGCCCGCACACAGTGCATGGCGTACTCGCTGGAAGGGGGGTATGTGAGCAAGGTTGGTGAGAGGGCAAGGTTGGTGAGAGGGCAAGGTTGGTGAGAGAGCAAGGTTGGTGAGAGGGCAAGGTTGGTGAGAGGGCAAGGTTGGTGAGAGGGCAAGGTTGGTGAGAGAGCAAGGTTGGTGAGAGGGCAAGGTTGGTGAGAGGGCAAGGTTGGTGAGAGGGCAAGGTTGGTGAGAGAGCAAGGTTGGTGAGAGGGCAAGGTTGGTGAGAGGGCAAGGTTGGTGAGAGAGCAAGGGGGTTGGAGTGAGAAGGCTATGAGGAAGGGCCTGAATGGGAAAGGGTGACAGACGCGATGAGGTGGATGATGGGTTGGGGAGGGGTGGGAGAGGGAGATTGGGGAGGGGTGTTGAGGAGGGGAGGATTGGGGGGAGATGCTGTGGGAAGGGCGCTCACGGGTTGGCAGAGAAACCGTCGTTCAAGTGGAAGGGGAAGGGGAAGGGGAAGGGGAAGGGTGCAAGTGAGGAATTAGGGGAGGGTGCTGTTGAAGAGGACTTAGGGGAGGGAACTGAGGGGAGGGAACTGAGGGGAGGGAACTGAGGGGAGAGAACTGAGGGGCGGGAACTGAGGTTGTGGGAAGGAAGGAGACTCACGGGTTGGCGGAGAAGCCGTCGTAGCAGTGCTCTGCGTCAAGCATGACGTGGCGGGGTTGGGTGAAGGATGGGACGAGGCAGGGGGAAGGGGAAGGGATGGAAGGAGGGGAGGTGGAGGGAGAGTCGAGGGCCTCACGGGTTGGCGGAGAAGCCGTCATAGAAGTGCTCTGCGTCCAGCATCACGTGGCGACCCATGGCAGTGAAATACCGCACCGTGTCCTCTATCATCGCCAGGTTCTCCTCTAGCGTCGCCTCCAGCACCTTCAGCACCTGGGCGTCCCACGCCTGGAGAGAGTGATAGAGGGGACAGGAAAGGAGAGATGTGCCCATGGCAGGCTAGTACTGCACCGTGTCCTCTATCATCGCCAGGTTCTCCTCCAATGTCGCTTCCAGCACCTTCAGCACCTGCGCGTCCCACGCCTGATGGTAAGAGAGGGGATGCGGCAGGGGGATGGGGCGGGGGGATGGGGCAGGGGGGGGGGGGCGGGGGGGGGGAGGCAAGGGAAAAGCCCATGGCACCATGTCCGTGATCATCGCCAGGTTCTCCCCCGGCGTCGCCTCCAGCACTTTCAGCACCCTGCGCGTCCCGCGCCTGGTGGCAGGACCACGAGACAGGAGAAAGGGGGGCAGCGAAAGGGCAGCGGAGGAGGGAGATGAGAGCAGAGCAGGCTAGTAATGCACCGTGTATTCTATCCTCGTCGGATTCTCCCACCCACCGTACCATGGCCTTGGTCCCTTGTTATAGTAACACCGAACCCCATACCTTGGCCACGAGGGTGATCACGGGCGCTCCACTCTCCACCAGCGCCTGCACGTTCGCGTCCTTCTCACACGTCGTGTTCTTATAACGAGTCGCTCCAAACGCCGCCAGCTTTGCCCGCCTCCTCTCCCCCTCGTTACTGTCACCTCCCGCTGCTGTCAACCTGTCTATCCCCTCCCTTGCTGCCTCCCGGGCTTTCCACCGCTGGAAGAACTCAGCGTCCTTGGGATTGGATCCTGGCCAGCCTGCTTCGATATAGTCAACCCCGAGATCCTCTAAGAGCTCCGCTATACGCAACTTGTCCGCCACTGAGAGGGTGATTCCCACCATCTGATTGGTCGGGATGGACGGGGCAAACGGAGGGTGTGACAGTAACGAGGGCGGAAAAGGAATGGAAGAAGAAGTGAGCAATGTGGTTGTGGATAAGCGTCAGAGGAGGCAGAGAGAAGCAGAGTTGAGGAGGAAAGGAGGAGCCACCCATCCCCACCCATACCCACCCACCCCCATCCGTCTCATCTGATCCCCACCCCACCCCACTTGCGAAACATTCCCCACCTGCGACTCGTCCCCCACCTGCGACTCGTCCCCCACCTGCGACTCGTCCCCACCTGCGACCCGTTCCCCACCTGCGACTCGTCCCCCACCTGTGACCCGTTCCCCACCTGCAACTCGTCCCCCACCTGCGACCCGTTCCCTACCTGCGACTCGTCCCCCACCTGTGAACCGTCCCTGAGCGTGGTGTCGTATATCGCCACCGCGCGCCCCGCTGCCACTGTATCGGAGCCAGCTGGCGCGGTCCCATTGGCTGTCGCTGGTGCTGCGCCGTTAAATACAGGTGCTGTGCGTGGCGGGTCCGCGGAGAGAGAGGCGGACGCGGAGAACGCGGAAGCGGGCTGGGGAAGGAGCGCGGTGGGGGAATTTTGGGGGGGAAGGGGTGAAGGGGAACAGGGAGCGGGGGATCGTTAGGGGGGCAAATGGGGGAAGGGAAGTGGGGAGATGGGGCCGGGAAAGATGGGTGAGCATAACGGGGAATGCGGATCGGAGTGGAGCGAGCGCGACTGGAAGGGGAAACGGGAAAACGGGGAAGGGGAAGGCGGAAACACGGCTGGAAAGTAGTGGGGGAAGTTAAGAGAAAAAAGACGAGCCCTTTATCTTGGAGTGTAAGGGAATGCAATTGCTCCTGTTCGCCTTTTATGTAGCTCGGTTGTCCACGACTTGAACGGTTAGTACTTAAGAATGTTGTGACAAAAGAGGGCGTGACTCACGTGTTCTGTCACAACGGCTTGCGTCACGGTCCCCGCTCCCGCCGCCGCCGCCTTCGCGCGCCATGACGGCTGCTCCGCCGACGCGGTTACCCTTAGAACCTTCCCGCAATGCCCTGCGAGCAGCGCATTCCCGCGTGGAAAGTTCGCTCTGTTGAGGCGCACCGGGTGGCCGCGAAACAACGCTCCGCCGACGGCGGCCTCCATGGGGAAAATGGCGGGAATGAGCGGAAAAGGGACGGAGTGGTTGGAACGGCGAAATGTCGCGCGTACTATACTTGGCGAAGCAGGGCGAACGTTATTGCGCGAGATGCGCCAAGTTGGATGTGGCTTGTATAGGCGACGAGGTTCGGAGAGGACGGGAAGACTTCGCAATATCGCCGGAAAAAAAGGAAAGGTTTGAGGACGGCTGGTGAAAGAAATATCTGGGGGTGTGGATTCGGGAAATACGCGAAGAGGGTAGTAACCGGTTCGCCTAGGAGATGGTTGAGTGTTCACGATATCGTGCGAAAAGAAAACGGGGCTGTAGCGAATAGTGGCGAGGAGTGGTATGGTGGCACGTCAGATCTGCTACGTGGCAGGCAAGATTTTGTCTTCGAATCACCCATCTCGAAACACCAACAGAATACTGAATGTAAATATGTGGTAGCATTCTTTTAAGCTGTAGGCAACAACGAGAAGAAGTTCCATAATGCTATAGCGGAACGTTATGTCATGTGATCCAGACAGCCACCAAAAGCCAACTGCAACCCAAGAGTCAATTCTGTCGCACATGAAGTAATGATTGTAGATGCAGCATCTGGAAAGTGTACAGTTTGTTTTGTTGTTACACAACCATGAATCTGAAATTCAGCCCAGAAAAGTGAGGATGCGGACAGACTCGGTCAGCGAAACACAAATTTTCACGCACCGACAACTGATGATAACCTGATAGCCCACTAAGGCTTTTGGATTATCTGGTGGTTTGGATGAGCTTCCATCAGCGGCGCTCCCGTCCAAACCAGCCACGTGTTTTTGTTGCGGCTTCCCCAGCCACGAAGAGTTGCTTTGCCGAGCCGCAGCCTTACCTTGTTTTACTTGGATTTTTCGCGCGTTCATGTCGCTGCCTTGGCTTTCGCGACATCGCTCCAGCGCTGCAGCAACAGCAAGAACCAGCAGTTCGCGGGGGCGCGGTATGGTCAGAACAGCTCTAGAACTACCAACGAACGGACCAGATTGTCTGGTTTTGGTTTGACGTCCCAAACCAGATTCCGAACCAGCAATATTCCCCCAACCGACAAGAAATTCTTCTCAACCATCATCGTGATCGATATTCCTTAGGACGCGGCACCTGTTTTCAATTTGCCATGATCGATCGTGGAAGGGGTTCGATGTGCCGCTTGTACAGTGATTTGGCGACGTCGCCAATGCCTGGTATCCGTTTTTCGCAAGACGATGAAGATGTACAGTAAACGGGTACCCAAAATGGTGGCACCTGCAGCTCGCACGGTCGATTTGCCGTGGTGCACACATCGATCGTGAGTTTGGGTTGGCGGGAGAGCACATCGCACCACAGGTGACAGCCGCGATCGGTCGGCGTCGCCCACGGTCGCAGGCCAAAAATTCTCTAGTCGTTGCGAATGAAATTGCTGGGCGACCAACCACGCTCTGCCCTGATTGGCTGCGCGTTGCAGTGTGCTGGTGTATTATGACGCAGCTCCAACCTGCCCGACCCTGCAATTTCGAACCTGGCACCTAAAGCTCAATGTGTCTATCCCACTGCAAATTTGCAGTGGTGGCACATCGGTGTGCCGGTCGATGTGCCAGGTTCGATGTGAGGTCTCGATCCTCCCCGAACCTAGCAGAATGAAAACATGTACCGCGTCAATAAAATGCAGCAACTTCTAGGATCGTAATGAACCGATCTTCGCCACACTCTACAACGCCAACAATCTACCAAGTCGGGTTCAATGGTTGCATATCCCACCAGTTGCCTTCAATTTCTGCAAATGCCTCCTAATCACCAAGCCTGCTTCCGTGTCTTAAGGTGACTCTGGTTCGGAACAGGTTCGGGATAATCAAGGGTTTCTGCGACGCACCGACCGCCACTCCTTCCAGCTAATTGCCTCAAGTCGTGTGGGAGCACGCAAGTAGCAGGCCACAGTAGCAGCCAATCAGAGCGGCAACGACAGGTCTGCATCGGGAATTTTGGGGGTCCCGCAATTGGTTGGGAAACCACTAGCTGGCGATTGGGTTTCGGCTCCAGGCATTCGCCTGGTTTTGGCGATTGGTTTTCTATGCTAGTGGCATCTAGCCTGCGGGTTGTTTTCAGTTGGGCGAATGACTGGCTGCCGAGCCTGCACAACTGCTCGGGTGGTTTTGCACGATACAGTTGCGGACATTTGGATTGTGTTCATTGGGCGCGACGTTTCTATCGGTTCGATGTCACGTCAGCAAAACAGTCTCGATAAAATGTCAGTCGGGAAAATTGTTTTAGTGAGTACAGTACTCTTGAGATATCGTGGAAGTCCACGTAATGAGAAAAAATGCACTGTGCTCTTAGCGGAAATGACGAAACACATTAAATATTGATAAAAGATGGTAGGGCGGCGTGTAGCAAAATATATAAAAGTAATATAAATATAGTAAGGCGAATAAAACGTATTTACGCTCCTTTTACAGAATGGTCTGTTAAAAGCTATTAATTTATTAGGGTTTAGGGTTCTATACCAGCAGAATATTAATGATATTAAAAAAGTCAAAAATACATTCTATTGATGAAATCACGCCTACAATAAATAAAAAACGCCACATCTAGAACAGCTCCTTCTGCGGCTCGTTTGCGTTGTGAAGCCTGCGATAAGCAGCCCTGGTGGTGAAGTCATCTCGGGTCAAATCCCCGAGCTCATCTGCTTCCAGCTCAGCTTCATGGATCTCCTTCCATCCAACGATGCAGATGCTGCCAATGCCGACACAGTCGCCATCCCGTTCAACGGGCCCCTCGTTGATCCACCTCTGCACCACCCGTGCCTGCCTGGAGAAGGCTGACGGGTCCCCTGATCGCTTAAACTGGGCCTTGCCATGGGGATAACGAAGCTTGAAACGCACCTGAAACAAGGGAAACAAAAACCACAGTAAGCGAAACGTTAAACACAAAGACAAATTCCACAGTAAGCGAAACGTTTGACTTACCGCTGCAAGGATAACCAGCAGCTGATCAGGAAACAACGCAATGGGAAGGGCGCCATCGAATTCCGGGTCCCAAAGGGACGCACACTTAACAAACGCTGGGCTAGAAAAGGGTGATCCCTCCCACAAATGCCAATAAATTCCCATCATCACTGCCATAAGAGAAAGCATTAGCTAAAAGCAAGGCTCAACGGAGTACTGGAAAAACTGGATTTCAGAATCAAAGAGAAACTTACTGTCGGATTGGTTCTTCACGAAGTCCGCGCACACCTTCGCGAAGTCATCAATCTCGGAGAAAGTTAGCTCGCCCTTCAGGGTTCGCTTCTCCCTCATGAAGACACACGGATCTCGGCTCAAGGCGTAAACGCGGCAGAGGCGGTAGATCTTCCCGATGCGATCGTTAAAACGTTCCATAGCATCCTTCAGCTTGCCCTGCGACTTGGCAATCGCTGCCACCTGCATCCCTTCGGCCGATTCGGGGGTGTAGCCGGCATGCCCTGCACACGACGTAAACTGTGATGATTAGTACACTAATCGTCATGAAGGGAAAATTGACAACGCTTAACAAGCTTACTGATCAATGCATTTAGCATGTCAGCAGAATCAGGATTGAGGTTGAGAAACGCTTTCTTGAACAGGAATCCATCACAGGCGTCCTTCGTGTACTTCTACAAGACGATGACAGAGAGTCAGGACGAATGAAACTGGGTAACGATGGTCAATGAAATGCAAACCCGTACCTTCCAGTCGAGAGTCGACTGGTCCACTTGCGTAGTCTTCTTAGCAAAGTGCGTTATAAGCACCAGCGCGCTTTTCAGGTCATCGGCGAGGCGACCATTCTCTTTCTGATAAACTCCGGCGATCGCCTTATGAGCTTCTGCCTTAGTTCGAAGCTCCTCATTCACATCAGGTTCGGCGCGCGCTTCCTCGTCGAAGCGAGCGGCATCAGTTGCATACGCACGCCCCGTCGCCCGGGTCATAAGCAACTCCATTTGGCTGCGGTTGGGGTTTCCTGTTGTGGGGGGAAATTTTACAAAGCGGAACGTTTGATATGAATTCAACAGGTTGAAAGCAGGTTGTTGCCGGCAACTTTTGAGACACCACTTCGAGAAAGGTATAGCAGACATACCTTCAACAGCAGCAGGTGTCCCGGCGGGAACAACAGCATCGGGAGCCACATCAGCAGGAGGGGAACCACCGTCAGGAATAGCAGAACGGGAAGGTCCGGCAGCAGCTGCGGCAGGGGAAGATCCGGCAGCAGCGGCAGCAGGGGAAGACCCGGCTGCAGCGACAGCAGGGGAAGATCCACCAGCAGCGGCAGCAGCAGGGAAGGGACCACTTGCAGCAGCATCGAGGGGACCACCGCGAGCCACAGACTTCACTCCAGCTGCCGGTGCAGGGACGGTTTTCCCAGCGACGTCAGCTTTGTTGACGTCATCGAGGCTGCGCCTTGGATGTTTGGTCCGTTGGCCGGTGCGAGGGCGGCCCTGCGCTTGCTCGTCGGACGATTCATCGTGGCTTTCATCTGCGAGAAACAATGAACGGTGGTTAGTCGTGTTCGACTTCATTGGTGCAAGCAAAAAAAAAAAAAAAGCAACGCAATACAAACCAGCGTGCAAATACCTGCGGTAGCACCGGCACCAATGTACTTGTGATTGTCCTTGCTCTTCCGTGCCGGGGGCTTTCTAGTCTGCAGGCCGCGCAAAGATTCAGGGACAAGGTCTCGAGCATCACCGCGTGCCATGACTAAACGGGGTATTAAACAAACTAACCAAGTTCCAGCGAATAGCCAGCAAGATGCACACACAGCTATTTATATGAAGTCGTCCATGTGACAAAAAAGCGGGTTAAATCGTAGGCGAATGGACTACTAAACGAGGGTTCGCGAAACACACCATGATTGGCTGTCACCGGATCATTACCAGACGTGGGACCAAAGTCGCCTCGCATGGAGGCTCGGCACGGGTCGCGGGACGAGCGAATGAGAATGAAGTCGGGCCTCGAGCAAGGTTAACACAAAGTTTGAAATTTCCAACTTTGAATTCCTAAACTGAGACACGCGGACAGAGCAGTTGCCTCTTTCCCCTGCCAACGAGGAAGGGAAACGGGGGAGAGAAGGGGATGGGGTGGGGTTTCAGAGAATGTGAGTTGCTGCTCGTGGGATGAAGTGGGTAGTGCCTTCAGGTGCGCTGGCGTTCGCGTTCATGAACAGCAACAAATCTGGTTTAGGGTGGCGGTCCTTATGCACCAGCACACACGTTTGTCCTTTCTCCGCGCGTGATATCACCACCACATGCCAGAGTTGGGCAACGTGAATAGCTTTTCCTGGGTGGCACGCAATGTGATGGCACGCATTACAGTAGGCTTTTTTTTTGGCTGAATATTGTAACGCTGGAACCTACAGAACACGTTTGTGGCTGGCGAGACGATGTCATGTGCAGCGAAACAGCCCCACAATTTCCCTGTGTACATATTTTGCCACCCAAGTATCATGTAGGTGTGCAACTGGTCAGCGAAGTCGACAACTACGTCAATATTTTGGGCAGCAAATATTCACCTGGTCACTAATCGGTTTAAAACGCTAGCACCATCGCCCCATCTCGTTACCAATGTACTTACGAAAAGGGCAAAAGTAAATGCGTGGTTTTTTCGGGATGGGGTGGGGGAGGGGATGGGGTGGGGAGGGGGGGTGGGGGGTGGGGGTTGTTCACTTACAGCTCAGGAAAACAAATTCGGCGCAGGACTAGTAAACGTCACGCGAGCATGTACAGCCTATTCTGACTTTGCATTTTTGGAGGAAACATCCGCCCAACGCGAGTCAACGTGTTGCGAAAATCGACAAACGACACCATGGGCGAGTGGCCCATTCGAAAGCGTGAAATCAATGCGCACGCAAGGGACGAATCACGGAGAGGCAACACGCTGTCAAGTGTGCTCGATAACTTGCGTGCGGCGAAATTAGAAGTCGTTACGATTAAGCCCGGGAAATTCTGATTTCACAGTGGTCGTAATGGGTGGTCACAACAAATTTGACGTGGTTCTTTCTCGCTGTTGACACAGGAGTGTGACGTGAACACACAATGTTCAGTATAATATTATAACATTACACACTCTAACGCGTTATATGTACCAGATCGGATGAAATCCAAGACATTTTAAACCAGTGAATCTGAGACGCTATGATAAGGTTTTATGTTTAATTTGAGCAATTTACTATCCAACAGAAACTTTTCAAAACATTTGCTTTGTCATAAAATGTCAAAACATTATATACACACATATAAATATTTACAATATCAACATCTAATATTTACAATATCATATTCTACCATCTAAAGTGGTTTAGCACAAACGTTGCCATCGGATGTGAAGGATCAACAGTTTTGGGGATGACGTGACGCACACGCAAGATGCTCTCAACTGGCAACACCCCATACCCGCGGCGAGATGGCCACCAGTTCAAGGTCTTCATGTCCATCGTCTCTGACTGTGGGAGCGATCCGTAATAGCGACAAAATGCAAGCTCCTCCGAACACTGCTCCTCCCTATCTTCCTCGTCACCGGCGCCAGCAATACACACCGTCCATCTCAGTGTAAATATAAGGAAAAGCTTCGCATGCCACACCACCTTCTTTTTCTCGTCATCCTCTCCCTCAATATCCACATCCGAAAACCAAGGGCCACCATGGAATGCCGGAGACGCTCGTGCATACTGTGGGTACCTGCTGTACCTTGTAAAATCGTCGTCGGGTGGTACCGCAACACCTGTGTGCACCTCTACCATCCGAGCATAGTGAACCGCGTTGGCGCCATGCTCTTCCGTGAGGTATGACACAATACTGTCCTCCAGAAGGTCAAAGTCTCCTGGGACGCTCCGCGAGTATGCCCTGAAGGTCTTGTCACGCTCGTCACCCAAGACAAACCTTGCACTCGTCCCAGTGACAGTAGCAACTCCCGTCTCTATGGCCTGCAGTAGTTTTAAGAATGTAGGTTGACACATCAGGCAAAAAACAATACAGAACATAAGGAGAAAGCGGGAAACGCAATTAAGAAAAACATGCAACAAGAGGGACTGCAACACTTGTAGGCATAGTATTGAGTAGGAGATAGGATGATAGCTAATACATCTATATCTTGCAGTGTTCAATAACAACACACCTGCTGAAGGGCGGCTGATCGTGCGTGCGCATCGGGAACATCATCGGCCGCAGTCATCCACTCGACCAGCTCTGATGTCACGCAACGCCGTGTGATAGTTGCTTCAGCGTTCCTCTTGTTAGAAGCTCTGTACGGTCTCTTCATCAAGGCCACGTGCACGTGCTCGTAGACATCGGTGCAGTAGTGAATCGGGACGCCACGACGCCTGATGTCGTCACTAACGTGAAGCATCGCGTGAATCTTGGGGACATTGAAGTTCGATGCTTGATCATCCACCGTGAACTCATTCATCAGCATCGGAACAAGCCTGCACGTAATGCAATGGCACGGTACATAGCGATGCAGAAGTTCGATAAGGAATGTTACAACGGACAAACGACACAATTATATTATGGCATGCACATGGATGCGAGCAATCGTGTATCGTACTCACGTGCTCGCCATGTTGTCAAGGTTCGCCAAGGAGGCGTCGGTGTGGTACGTGCGATGCCATGCCTCCCTGTGCCACGTGCAGAAGTGCTCCACAGATGCCACAATCCGTGCGTCAACCTTCGCCATCACCAGGAGCACTGGCAGCACCTGCATCACCGCTTGATGGTGGAAGGCCTTGAAGGTGTTGTGGCCGCTGAAATAGCCAGCTGTGTGTGCAGGAATCCGAAAGAAAGACTGCCTGCTGTGCTTGGTGATCCGCTCGAGAGAAGCATCGAGCTCCCGCAGGGTGGAGTCATTCAGCTTCGACTTGAGACCCTCCAGGATGTGCTTGTATACGCCGAGGAGAGACATGTGCATGATGTCGGACGTGAGTTGTCGGTACGGGTTGCCGAAATCCTCGTCGCCAAAGCGTTGTCCCCATATAGCACTCTGCGATGCGCACGCACGCACGCACCCACACACTCACACACACCCATACACATCCACACACATACATCTACCCATCCACACATTTAGACACACCCACCCACACACCCACACACCCACACACCTACTCATACACACACCCACACATCCACACACACACACACCTACACACACCCACACATCCACACACACACATCCACGCATCCAGACACCCACACACCCCCACACACGCATCCACACACCCACCCACACACCCACACACCCACCCACCCACACGCATCCACACACCCACCCACACACCCACACACACACACACACACTCACACACTCACAGACACACATCCTCGCACCCACACACCCACCCACACACACACACCCATACACCCACACACCTACCCATACGCACACCCACACACCCACCCACCCACAGACACACACCCACACACCCACACACACACACACTCACACACTCACAGACACACATCCTTGCACCCACACACCCACCCACACACACACACACCCATACACCCACACACCTACCCATACGCACACCCACCCACCCACCCACCCACAGACACACACCCACACACCCACACACACCCACACACCCACACATCCACACACCCACACACATACCCACACATACCCACACACACCCACACACACCCACACATACCCGCGCACACCAACACACACATCCACACACACATCCACACACACATCCATACACACATCCACACACTCGCATCCATACTAAACCCCACACACCCACACACACCCACACACACACACACACATACACACACACGCACGCACACACACACACGCGCGCACACTAACACACACAGACATACATACACACAAACGCAGAAACAGACACAGAAGCACACACATCAGTTTGGGCATCTAGCAAAACCCTAGGTCAACATGTTATGATTATTAGTGCACGAATACGCGACAAACAACAAGTGTAAAGTACCTTAACGAAGTGTGTACTGTAACGCTTTGTCAAGTCGTTGCGTGCTGTAACCCTCGTCTCGCGTTCCATCTCCATGACTCGCTCCTTTTGTAACGCTTCCGTTCGATACACCAGCGGGAACGCCATGTTGTTCAGCTCTTCCTTTGGAACGGTGCACCTGGGGCATGGAAAACGGGTCTTGATGCCGGACTTGGTGCCCGCCACTTTGCACTGCTCCGGATAGTCGCCAATGTAAGCGTACGTGAGCGGAAAGACCATACGACGAATGCCGTATGGATCTGTCAGCTCCACGCCACTGCATGCAAGACAATAGAGAATCGACAAACACATTTGCACAGTATACAACAGTTCACAAACGTAGACAAAACAACCAAAAGCAGAGAGAGGGAGGGGAGGGGGGGGGCTTGGGGGGTAGGATCTTACGTGTTCTGGGCAATATTCAAATCCGCCATGATAAGATCCAAGGCCTCCTGGAATACTTCAAGGTGCCGCCGCTCCTTGTCCGCGTGCGTGAAGAAGCTCCCGTCATCATCGGGTAGGAGAGCGAATAATCGATGCCCATGGGGTTTCCATCGATTCCCTGGCGCAATGTTGGCTAACGAGATGTACACGGGCCAACCCTTGAGTCCGCTATTAGTCGTGAGAGTTGTTTCGTCCGAGTAGATGATCACTGCAGCGACTGCCTTGCCTAGATCAGTAGCTGGCAGTTTACGGAGTACCTCCCGCCACCAACTCCCCGTCTCAGGACCCTTGTAAATCCGTTTCGCCGGATTGAAGTTCTTGGGAGGGCGCACAACGAAACCATGCGCATTCGCCGCGTTCTCGTACAAGCTGGTGACACACGTGAGCGCCGAACGCCGCCACAGGATCACGGGCTTCAGATCTCCCGGCTTTGTGAGTTCCACCTGCTCAAACGGTTCAATGTTGGCCCCTGCCAACTTCGCCTCCTCGTACTTGTCGAAGTCTGCTAGAGACTTGAGCGTTAGCCGGCCTGGGTTGCGCAGAACCTCGACGAGGATGGATATCAACTCCATAATATCTACGCGTGAAAGGCCGGATCCTCCAGCTGCCGTGCGAATGAAACGGTACGCCCGAGCATCAATGTCAACCGATGTAGCATCACACTCTGGGGCGAACTCGTAGCCTGTGGTGTCCTCGTTCAACTCAGCCGTGTCAGGCTGCTCATCAAAGCGGCTCGGCCCTGGCTGCGTTTCAAGGCGTGTGCGCTTGGTGCCTCGTGAAAGAAGACGGTTTGCAGCTGCTCTTAACCTTTCCACTGCTCCCCCCTGGCTAGAATCATCACGTAATCCTTCAGATGCTGCCTCTTCCACCCTATTCTTGTGCTGTCCTTTCCTCATATGCCGTGCTTTCTGATGTGCATACGAGAATGTCGCTACACATTGGGGGTAGAGGTCACACTTGAATGGCCTGTTGTCATCCGCCATACTGCAAAATATACTGGAAGCCTTGTAGGGTTTTTCCTCAATCAAATTTCTGAATTACAGAAGATTCGTACAGCACACCAACTCCAAGCTACTATCAGTGACTCTAACTACAGCCCCTACATGCAGATGCGGCCTGGCAGAGGGGACCCTTCTCAGCAGCCTTCTGCAGATCTGCAGGAGCACACCAAAACACATACAAAACATGCCAGAAGCGTCTTAGACCACAGAACAATGAGGAATAGAAAGTTACCAATACAGAAACCACACAAACAACGGTCACACCGGATTGCAGATTGGGTGTGCAACCATCTAACATTTCCTCACCAGGCTGAAACTGTAGGAGTAGATATTTGGACAACAGCGGATCTCTTCGAAAGCAACCCTGCAGACACGAAACAGTAGTTTGAAATTATTTACATGCATAGACAGTTCAGTCAAAGGGTGCACCTGAACATAATTTACGATTTTCCAAAAACGAGGATGTTAATAACCAGCACGGTAAAGAGGTGATACGAAATGAAGCAATGTTTATGTGGATTTGAAACACTGAGAACACAAAAAAGCGATCAGAGGGTTGTGAATGGAGACAATACAAGTAACAGATGAACAATTCCACCCGGGCCAGTCACATACCTGGAGACTAACAGATCGATCATTGCAGGATACAACACACCATGTGAGAGTAGGAAAACAGGAATGAATGAACTATGAATGAAAGCAGTACAAATATGAAACCCTAACTGGGTTGTACCCCCTATGGGATACCCCACTACAGCCTACACAGCAGTATAAGCTATAGATATGTTCTGACACACCCCCATAGGCAAAGTGGGGGAGAACAAGGGGTCACAAGACCAGTCAAGCAAGACAAAGCAAAGCTCAGGGTGGATCACAAAGTCACCACACAGTCCGAGCACAAGAGTGAGGCCAAAGGCCAGTTCACAAGCAAGAGTACAGACATATATATAAAGCTAGACAAGCAAGAGCAGGTATATATATATATGTCACAGTACAAGTGAAGTCAAGAGGAGAGCAAGTGAGGCAAGACAGGCACAAGACCCAGCTGGGTGCAGAAGCGCTGATGGTCACAAGGCGCAAGTGCCTTGGTGAACACATCAGCAGTGTTGGCCTCAGAGGCCACGTACGCAAGTCGCAACTGACCACGCTGCTGCAGCTCACGAGCAAGGAAGTAGCGGAGAGCAATGTGCTTCGTTCTGTGCTCCAAGCGCTGCTCTCGACACAAGGCCAGCATAGCCTTGTTGTCTACGTACAGCACTGGAGGAGAACGAGGCGGCTCTCCAAGGTCAGTCAGCAGGTAGGTGAGCCAGCGAAGCTCCTGTGCAGCCATGGCCCCGGCGTAGATCTCAGCCTCACAACTGGAGCCGAGAACCGAAGACGAGCGAGTAGACCGCCACGAGACAGAGCCGGAACCAAGGCTGAAGGTGTAACCCTGTGACGACCGCTGCGTAGCCTGGTCGTCAGCCCAAGACGCGTCCGCGTGGCCGGTAAGGACCACTGGACTCCGCCCTCCAAGCACTAGCCCCATGCCTGACGTACTGCACAGGTAGCGCAATACCCTCTTCGCTGCAGCCATGTGCTCCGGTCTGTGTCTCCCAGGAGCAACATAGCGTGCAAGAATGCTCAGAGGGTATGCAAGGTCAGGTCGTGTGCAGGTCATCAGGTACATGAGGCAGCCAACAAGCTCCGCATACGGACCACTCGACTCTACGGACTCATCCGAAGGCAGAGCTGAGAGTGAGTGGCGAGTAGGCAGAGGAGTGGCCTGAGGCGAGGAGTACGTGAAGCCGAAGCGCTGAAGGACCTGCTGCACCATGTGTGACTGAGTCAAGGTAATGGTGCGGCGTGCTCTGTCCCGAGTGATCTGCAAGCCAAGGTAGCTGCGCAGTTCACCCAGGTCTGTGCACGTGTGTCTCTTCAACAGCTCGGACTTCACGTAGGCGAGTCCAGCAGTGTCCGCTGTGGCAAAGACCAGGTCGTCGACGTACACGAGGATGTAGAACGGCGGCAGGGAAGTGTCGGTGCGAAGAAACAGCGACGGGTCAGCAGTAGAAGGAGCAAACCCAAGAGCCGCAAGCGTAGTCCTCAGTGTGTCGTGCCACTCACGCGGTGCCTGGCGGAGACCGTAGACTGGCCGTCGGAGGCTCCACTGGGTGCCAGGAGGGAAAGTCCCAGTGAAGCCAGGTGGACGGCGAAGCCAGATCTCCTCGTGCAGGCTACCCTGCAAGAACGCAGTGCTGAAGTCGAGAGAGTGAAGCTCGTAGTCGCGCTGAGCGGCTATGTGCAGCAGCACCCGAAGAGTAGTCATCTTCGGGGTGGGAGAGAAGGTCTGAAAGTAGTCAACTCCCTGCCGCTGACTGAAGCCACGAGCAACGTACCGTGCCTTGAAGACAGGTGGAGAGCCCGGCGGCCGCTTCACCCTGAAGATCCACATGCCACTGACGATGTTCGCCCCAGGAGGGGGAACCGCGTCAACGTAGGTGCCTGTGGACTTCCAGGAAGCCATCTCTGCATCCATAGCTGCCTGCCACTGAGAGGAGTAGGGACCCTCTACGGCCTCCGCGTAAGAACGCGGAGTCGGGATGTCTAGTGCATCCGGGTCTCCCTCAGGGGCAAGCAGTACAGACGCGAGATGAGGTGAAGCAGCCGCTAGACACTGTAACTCCTCCTGCCTGTCCTCTAGGACGTCCGTGCCAAGAGCACACTCACCCCCGACGGACGGAGGACAGACAGACGCAGACTCAGCAACAAGACTAGCAGCGTAGTCGAGACGACAGCGAGCAGCAAAGTCGACGAGCTCAGCGACTAGAGCAGACGCAGCAGTGGACTCAAAAGAGGGGTCAGTGACGACAGTAGCAAGCAGACGCGTGACAGTGGGACTGGCAGCACGAAGAGAGTCCGACTCAGGGTCCGCAAGCGCAGGAAGAGAGGACTCAGGAGGAGAAGGCAAAGGGGCACGCAGAGGAGCAGTGGACGGACGTAAAGACATCCGGTGCGTGCCAGGGACAGGAGGAGGACGCTGACGCGAACTGCGACCACTAGCGCGAGCAGCACGAACAGGCGACGCGGGACGAGACGCAGGCTCACGACGCTCAGCAAGACCTCCAGTAGGACCAGTGTAAGGAGAGGGAGCAGGCAGCGGAGAGGAAGGCTCCAGTAGGGGCTGCGACTGGACAGGCGGTGGACCCTCTACTGGAGGAGAAAGACCAAGAACCTGCTGAAGGAGCGGAACGAAGTACGGCCGAGGCCGCGCGGCAGCTCCAGACTCAGCAGGGACAGCACCAGCACCCTCAGCGACAGCACCAGCGCCACCCACACCTCCAGCGGCAGGACCAACAGCAGCAGGCTCAGCACGAACGCCCTCAGTAGCTCCAGCTCCAGGAGGACCCGCAGGGCCAGCAGCTCCGGGAACGGCTGCACCCGCACCCTCGACGGTCGAAGAAGCTCCAGCTCCAGCTCCAGCAGCACCTCCAGACTCAGCAGCACGCCTCCAGCGGCGAGCGAACCACTCGCGCAGCTCCTGTGGAGAGAGGGGCTCCCGGCGAGACGCAGCAACAGGAGAAACCCCAGGCTCAGCAGCTCCAGACGCAGCACCCCCAGGCTCAGCAGCTCCCGACCCAGCACCCCCAGACCCAGCACCTCCAGGCACAGCACCCCCCGGCTCAGCACCCCAAGGCTCCGCACCCTCCGCAGTAGCACCCTCAGGCTCAGCACCCCCGCGCACAGCACCCCCAGAGTCAGCACCCCCAGGCTCAGCACCCGCGTCACCAGTAACCTCGACCGGGTCAACGGCGTCTACCTGGGACACACCTGAGGGGGCAGGAACCTGAGGGGGGAGGGGGTCTACCGGGGGGGGAACCGGCACAAGGAAGTCCGGGGGAGGGGGGAGGGAAGGAGTGCGGTAGGGGAAGAGACGGTAGAAGGGGACTGACTCGTCGAACGTGACGTCCTGGGAGGACAGAACACGACGAGAGGAGGGGTGGTAAAACTGCCACCCTGGGGCGTCAGTGGGGAAGCCAAGGAAGACACAGGGAGCAGCACGAGGGGACAGCTTGTCCGCAGACAAGTCGCGGACAAACGCCCGAGATCCCCAGACACGGAACACAGACGCATCGCCAACCTTCCCCGTCCACAGCAAGGCTGGGGACATCGCTGGCCGAGAGACCCGGGGGTGAAGGTTGAGCTGATGCGCCGCGTACCTCACCGCAAACGGCCACAGAAAATGGGGGGCAGCCGCATGCATCATGGACGTACGAGCGACATCCATGACCATGCCAATGCGGCGCTCAGCAATCCCATTTTGCTGTGGTGAGTCCGGAAGCGTGAAGGTCTGGCGGATCCCCCGTGCACGACAGTAGTCTCGCAGAAGGCGAGAAGAGAACTCTCCGCCTCTGTCAGAGTGCAGACGCAGAACAGGAAAGTCCGAGCCGAAGCTCTTCCTGAGCTGGAGACGAGCCTCGCGGATCCAGTCGATCAGCACCTCAGTGACTGCACCCTTGCTGCGCAAGGGGAGGACTGTGGTGTAACGCGAGTAGTCGTCAACCACCAACAGGAAGTAGCGCTCGTACCCCTGCCCACGGACGGGGGCTGGGCCCCACACATCCATGTGAAGCGTCTGCAGGGGAGACTCTGTCGGGGGGAAGTGGGAGGAGTGAGGAGTAGCCCGGAGGCGACCCTCGACACAGGGGACACAGGAAGGTCCTGGCCCGGAGGGGAGAGGAGGGAGAGACTGGGGAAGACCAGAGACAAGGACACGGGAAGCCATGCTCCGAAGACGGGGCAAGGAGGGGTGGCCAAGACGGTGGTGCCACAGGAGAGTCTCGTGAGACAGGAGGCGACAAGAACAGGGGGCAGACTCAGGACCTGACCGGGACGCAGCAGCAAGTACCTGACTCGACGCAGCCACCTGACCAGACGCAGGGACAGGAGGAGACTCAACGGTCAGGGTGTAGAGACTCGACCCCGGCCGACGTGAGAACGTG